TAGTATAATCGCAAAGCACTGTACAGCTATTTTATCCTTACAAGAATTGATCAAAGGTGGGTATCTAATCCAATTCCAAGGAGTTTTGAACCCACGGCTGCTCATCTAGTAGCCGTTTGTCAAACGAGTGGCTGATCATTAGTGTGATTAACTCGCACTTGAATAGAGTATACTCTCACTCATCTTTCAACAACGGGATCACGTACTGGCCGGCACTTCGAATGACGAATTCCCAAGTGGAAGATCCACTGTTCCTGTTGGACATCCTTCCTTCTGAACCACTTATATTCTGTATAAGGGGATCTGGAAATTTTTCAGAAAGATTTTGTTCAGAACTCCGCGGAGTTTCGTGAGATATGCATGTTGCTGATGGTAAGTAATAGGAATAAAGGGGCCGTAGAGTGATTCCTGGCTCTTTAGCATAGATTGGCCTAACTTTCGGGTTGAAAATGTGAACAGTCTTCATTAATGCAGAGGTATTTGATCTTGGTTTTGTCTGACGGCGACGGATGCTACTTTCATGATCAGCTTAAGTTTGTTGTTCAGTGGAACCCACGACATGCTACGTAGCTGATGTCTTTTCTACCTGGTCACTTTAGAAGTTGTTACCATAAATTACTTGACCAGACACTGATGTTTGTTTTGATTAGGTAGGTGTTAAAAGCAATCCATAGTAAGCAGTATCTACGTGAATGTGTTTTCGGTCAACCGGTGAGCAGTGTTTGCTCCAGATGAGACCCAGTGACTGGTCACTTGCCAAAATATTGGTAGTTCGGGTGAGTTTATTGGTTGTTGATCAGGCGACTGTTGATCCGTTCGCCGAGCTTGGCAATTGACTTGCGAACGTCAGCAGAGATCAACGGAGATCGAAGAGTGAATAATTAGACAAAATTTCGCCTTATAAGCACTACTTCCTTGTAAGGTTTGAGTACAAACCGTGTATTCGCATCTTTGTGCACAAACCGCCGAGATTGACCACAGACAGACGATTGAAGATTGAGAGTTGCATGAAGTTACAACCTACGGAGTTGCAAAAAGTTGCAAACACGGAACGTGTAATAACCTCTATTTTAGAGGAGTATATCGTGGGGGCTGTCCTTCTTCATTCACCCTTGAGTTGAACGGCATGAAAGTAACTCCAAAATCTGTTGTTAACTGTGGCCCAAACTTTTGTATGCAGTCAACTAATACACAGACAATATAAAGATGAAACGTCTTGGTGGACGCTGCACGTAACTCCTGCTTGTCGCGCAGTATCATAACGAGTATCAGTCATATCTTTGACTTTTTAAAGCGCTCGTTGCTCCGGGTTACTACAAGCAGCGTTCTCACATTTCACGGTTCTCCACCTTGTGACCAAAATTCGATAACGTTGTCATGGCATTCTAAGACTCGAACCGCGCATCATCAGACAAGTAGAACGGTTGGTGGCATGGAAACACGTTAGGCAAGCAGCGCAAGATCACAGAAAATGAATGAATAAAAACCCAAAGAGCGCACTGCATCAATGCCATATTTTTTGTGGACAGGAGATTAATGGTTGAGAACTGGAACAAAAAGGGTAGCTTCTTTCAGGTTTTTCCGACCGAAACACAAACAGTTGAGGCTTGATGTAGTGTCTGCTGGTTGATGTTGCCAGGTGACTAAATGTGTGATCCTTTCGTCTGAACTGCTCAATGAAACATTGAAAGAGGAAAATGGAAAGAAGCTCATGTCATCCGTCTAAGAATGAACACTTTCAATGTATCCTTGCGGATGAAACTGGATTGTTTCTGTTCAACAGTTAACCGAAGCGTTTGTCGAGTACCCATGAGTAACAAAGTTTGGTGTGGATAAGCATCATTGGTCAATAATTTTAACAGAGACTTAGGATACTGTATGAGGGTAAGTTGCATAGGCAAGGCTCTGCCTGGTATGGTGGGGTGAAGCTTATCTATCGTTTATTTCTGAAGAGCGTGATCACAGACACAAAAAGTGAATGCAAGCGATGAAAGTGAAAGGATTACAGGCGAATATGAGATAAAAGAGAGAAACATTTCATTCGAAGTCATGCCACCAACAGTTCCAGTCAGATAAGCTGAGTCTCAAGGTATGTAAGAAATTTCGGTATGGAAACACGCATGTAAAGAGCAGCAACTGAAGAAAGGACAAATAATGTTAAATGCTCTTCCAGGCGCGGTTAGCGCTAGCACGGTCAAGACTCGCACGTCAGATACAAAGTGTTCGTTCTACTGGGTCTGGTGGTAGATTCAATGACAAGAATGTACACTCAACGCCATGTAATACGCATAAAAGTGTCGTAAGTACACAGAGAGCCCAAAATGGCAAGCAAACACAATTCACTGACTGTGACCTTAGGAAATTCCAGTCCGATAACAGCCTTGGCGGATTGAAGAAAGCAGATCCTTCGATAAGAGATGATCATCGGTTGGTGGACCAAAAAGTCGACATCACAACCAATTGTAAGTAGGGATGAAATAATGGCGAGATGATATTCATCCTCACCATGCTTCTGCTTCTTCTTATTCCACACAGTCACCCCGCGCCCATCAACCACAAGAATGCTGTGAGTGAAAAGCTGCTTCATCTAAAGACGTTACGTATAAAAGAATACCAAGGTTGACGTTTTTTTTCACGTCCACCGAAAATGTCGTACCGAATTGCCTGTCCTGTTGTTGATAGGCTGTGAAGATTTGTGGATTTTAGTGGGAATTTTTGTCCTGTGAGTAAAGTCAATCTATACTGAAAAGCGGAGAAGGGCTATACAACTGCTTCATCAGCAGTGCGCACATCATGAAACTCCAGGTAGCCGCTCGTCGCCGAGTGGTTAAAAGCCAGGTGGTCCGGAGTTCAGAAACACCCTCGAGTTTCTTGAGAGGAGTACTGCTGATAATTCCACATGGGGGTGAAACAGCCATACACTCGTCCTCAGATTTTCAACGTAGACCGGCTCCACCTATAGGATGAAATCTCCACTAGCGTGTTCCATACTTTGCTCTGCTAATGTATTATTTGCGCAATATTATTTCCATGAAAGCTTCTTACACTTTGGTGTCAGTTAATGCTTTGTTTAGCCGTAGCTCCGACAGTGCACTGATTGTGCATCTGCGTCCTACGTCCAACATCCAACTAGACCAACTGTATTCGGTGGTACGGACGGATGTCTTTAGAAAGTGAGTAAGCCCTAATAAAAACCCGGTAAGCTAAGGTAGGAGCATGAGTGAACAATGAATGGTCTTCAGGAAAATCTAATCTTATTAACCAAAAAATGGAGAAATCTGAGCAGACCGGTTCTAACAAAAAAGGTTCTGGCCATTTAGAAGCGGAACACTGTCGGAAACCAGTCAAAAGTGCTTTCCCTTGAAAACTAGGTTTATATTATTGGGGCATACTTTTAGGGAAACAGAGTAAGTTTTGGCTGTGTTATACTGTGTTATACGTCCNGGGAAATATAAGCAGACCGGTTCTAACAAAAGAGGTTCTGACCATTTAGAAGTGGAACACTGTCGGAAACCAGCCAAAAGTGCTTTCCCTGGAAACTAGGTTTATATTATTGAGGCATACTTTTAGGGAAACAGAGTATGTTTTGGCTGTGTTATACTGCAGCAAATGGACGTCCCTTGAAGGATACATGCGTCTATGGACCAGATGGCTGTTTTTTATGTCCCAGAACTAACTAATTTGCCGCTACCTATTCAGGCATCAATAGTAAATCTTTTATACCAGTTCCATTATGTAGGTAGCTCACTTTACAAGTGTCAGAATCGACTGTCTGCATTGGTCTATCATGTCTAATTTGATCAAATTCCTGCGAAAATATAACGGACGTTCTGACATATACCAACCTACTATCGAAACCTTTGGTTCACCAGTGCTCTTATTTGGTGCAATTCTGGTGACCAGTATATTTTTCTTTTCTTGTGATAGTAGAAGTTAAAATATCCCGAAATGTTACAATGGTTGGTGGAAGATGGCAGTAGTAATCCGAATGGACGTACGTTTGATTTGAGCATTAAGAACTAAGCATTTTTCAACCTGGAAGTGCAAGCTTTACATGAAAAGCTAACCAAGGTCATACAGTCTTTGGGATAGGTTTTGAGCCCGAAAAGTGCGAATTCAGGCTACGTGACNGTGAAGTAGAGGGTACTGCTTTCAAAGAATGCATTCTACAGTGCAATCTATGGTTACTGTCCATGTGTCATGTAGGCTGAATTACCGTCTATCGAGACAAGCGCTGTTTTCTGTGGTTAATTCGGGTGTGAGAAATCCAGAAATGAGCAGAAGTTGACAATGCAGAAGGAAATGATGGGTATTAAAAAAAATTGGGCATCTTTAGTGCTGTTCGCTTTCGAGGATGGGGTCTATTTGACCCTTCCTCCACTTGGTTGGAGATACCAAACAATATCGCAGCTAACCCACGTTAGTGGATTCATGCTACTAGATTCTATCCAGTGTCTGAGTGAGTATTGGAAGTGCTGGCACCTCGGATGTTTGTTGTAGGCTAGCCCTGGGTTCCCCAGTCTGCAGCATTTCTTTCTGCTTTCCATTATAAAGCTTTATTGAAATAAATTGACTCTGCTGAACTATGGAGGAGCACTAGTATTATCATGTGATGTTGCTATCTTTGATGAGCATGAAGAATTCATCTACGTAAAGAGAGCAGATTTACCCCAATCCTTCAAGGCCACTATTCTGGCTACCAAACACCTTATGGATAAATAAATCCCCTATAATTTATGCCTACTTACTGAAAACTGGCTGCTGAATCGCAACAACAGTGCTCGAAATCCAGAGAATTTCCATTGTAGGCGACTAGGATGTCTGCTGAAGGCAAGTGCGTACTTTGTCTGCCAAAGTATTCGATGGACGAAAGCCATTAATAAGTCAGCTTATTGTTACTGAAGTCAGCTTATTCTTTCTTTTATAGATAAAATCGCACTTATGGAAAATTTAAATGCTGGTGTCCTGACTGGAACTTCATCTTTTTTTTACTTTAAAAGGTTCCAAAATTAGAAGGCCGTTTTCCGCAAGTGGCTCAAATCACATTTTCTTTCCGAGCGGACCGTCCAAAAGGACAACGTGTTGATCCGGCATCTGTTAAGATTGGTGGAAATCCTTTGGTTTTAGAGCAACGATATCGGCTTGCAACGACGCCCTTTATGGCAAAGTAAGCGCAATTTACCGATCGAACATGACTTTTATCTGATTCTTTTGAACAGCTGCCATCAGCTGTAAATGATACGATATGATATAATTAATGACATTTTCATAGAGGTCATTTCTGATTCCTGTTTTTACGCGCATTACTACAAGTGAAGTACAATTACTCTTGTTTAGAAGCAACATTTGGTTTTCCGAGACTCGCCGCCTAAAAAGGGCAATATTATTAACTGTTGTCCTACATTTTGAGGAGGATGTATAATATACTACCTCCCGATCGGAACGCTGAAGTAATCGGACAAATAAAGTCATAAAATAGTAGTAATTTGGATTAGATTTTCTCAACTTAACACGACAAAGCACTGTAAGTACTATGTACATTCACATAAATCTATTAGGAAAAGGACCAAGATGAGTAGCTTTCTCCAGCGAGAAGAAGCAGTAAGTATTACCATATTAGCCTGGCATCGTATAACATATACAATAGAGCGGTGCCACTCCATAAGAAGTCGGTTTTTGGTACGATGGGTTGTATCCTCATGACAAAAGATTGCTAATTTCATGAGAGAGGGCAAACTTTACGTTCGATTCTTCAAAATCACCGGATGTCTGTATTTAATTCAGCCCTGTTAGGTTGACAAGAATAGCCCTGGAAGTTGTTTTTCAAGTGGAAATTCTACCACTTTTATGCACGTGGGTTAATGGATGATTAAATGAATAAATTTTCGCTGAATAATGTGTTCACAAAAAACAGGTTTTGGTCAAGGTTCGCTCGATTCTATGGTCTTCCAGCTGCAATCCACTTGCAGAAATCGCATGTATTTCAAAAGTTTGTGATCAGCAGATACGTTAATCAGCTGACCATGCATTCTTTATTCCGGACAAGAAAACTCTCCTATTCAAAACTTTCTTTTTTCGAAAAGAAAACATCTGTCAAGTCGCTTCGAAATTAATATGGAGAAAAGCCCTCCCTCGTTTCCGACTTGTGTGATAAAATATCTAGTGATATTTTCCTCTCACTGACAAAATTGATTAGATCTAATGGGCGTCCCAGAAGGTACCACTTCTAAGGAATAATCGGCTGCGTATCTGTCATGATGATCGACTCATTAGTTTCAGCTCCAAGCATTATACGCTTCTGGATTTCTGAACCTTCACTAAGCACCAAAGGTGTGCGTTTTTCACCTTTATATTTTGAGTGAAGTTTAAAGCACAGACTGAACGTAAGCTACATCTCTGAAGGCTATTATTGCAATTACAAGCATACACAATGAACACATTTCTTCTAATTCTATTGAACAAACTTCTGTGTGGTACATCCAAAAAGAACAGCACTCAGCTGTCACTGCTCACAAGTTTGCTGAAAACTTTTCGACAGCTCACGACCGGTTTCCCACTACTTTGGGCCATCAAGTAGGCGCAATCCTCGAGTTTCTGTCAATCTTATATTCTAGTTAAACCCCAATAGGACAGGTTTCGACAACTACACTCATTCACGCAGCGCTTTGGTTTTTACGTGTACCTCTCGTTAATGATATGAGTTGTTCCCTTTATGAAAATACACTGCAAGATCTCGAACGTCATACCGACTGAAACACGAGGTGGCCTTTGTACAGCACATTCAATTGAAGAAAATCGTAAACAGAAGATTTAGTTAAGCCTCCGGTGAAAACCATATTGGCATGGAAATAAGTGTATTTGTCAAAAACATTCAGTCATCCTCGTATTTAGAAGGTGGTGGCTCGCACCGTCAATAGTTGGACAGAATCGGGGATATACGATGTGTCAGCTGTTTATTGCAATCGCATTACGTCACCGAAAATTGTCCGGTCCCTGATTCAAAAGCGGAGATGTGTTGCCTGTTTACATGAGGTTTGAGCTCAGTTTTGATCGTGTATATTGCGCAACATCTTCTTTAGGTGCATTCTGACCTCGTCGACATGCTATGCATTTTATATGATCACTGAGCATAGCGAAATAAATTCATTACGTGCTTCGTCCGGTCGTTCTGGAAGAGAACTACCATTTGCGGACAAAGGCATTTGCAATTTGTCACTACCTCTAATATGACAGCTGCAAGTTTCAGCCAGAAAGTCATTCGGATGGACAATCGACCCAGTATTTTTCATGGGCGTATGCAGTCTTGTAATAATAGAGGACAAACTTTTTTTACTCGTTATCGTATTACTTGGGGATATTCAAATGCAACATATACACGGAATCTGAAGCATGTCATCGGTCACAACACGCAGTCGGTTACATTTGCACAAAGTTATAGCGTGCACTTAATTGGCTTTATGAGAAAGAGCATAGTTAACTAGGTTTATTTATCCCATTGGAAACACTCTTACATAACTGATCGACCGTGACTCACAAGTTTACCTTCACCAGAGTGCGACAAGCTCCTAAAACTGGGTCGATATTTCTGACCACTATACAAGGTGATCTCACGTTATCAACCATTGCTTTCTGTATTTGATTGGTCGCGCGGATGGCTACCAATCTTTGTATGCCGAGTGGCATATTTGCTTTTTTCCAGAAAATAATGTTGCTGATTGAACCATCGACAAGTAGGATTAAATCTCTGGAATTATCACACTTGTGTGCGGCATTCAGTTTGCTTGTCGGATTTATCCCTGGTTTACCGTAGTGCACGAAGAATCTTCGTTTAGTGACAATTACTTTTTCTGATACACCTGGGTTACTCTATCCCGTCTAAAGTCTCTTTTATGTGCAAAATCAAGCCAAAAATTTCATAACTGTCTTTTGAATCTGAGAAAAAACTATTTATTTACATCATTGCACATACCGGCTTGAACAACATAGCCAGTATTTTACAGCGACTGTTTGGTCTAGCACCCTTTTGCCTTCATTCCTCGAGTAGGTTGTTACATTATGCTCTTTAACGACTGGTTTACCGTAGTGCACGAAGAATCTTCGTTTAGTGACAATTACTTTTTCTGATACACCTGGGTTACTCTATCCCGTCTAAAGTCTCTTTTATGTGCAAAATCAAGCCAAAAATTTCATAACTGTCTTTTGAATCTGAGAAAAGACTATTTATTTACATCATTGCACATACCGGCTTGAACAATAGAGCCAGTATTTTACAGCGACTGTTTGGTCTAGCACCCTTTTGCCTTCATTCCTCGAGTAGGTTGTTACATTATGCTCTTTAACGAACAAAAAACTATTGTGCAAAGCAGTACGAGGGTTTATTTTCCTAAACGAGTCTGCTTCAAGTGTTGTTACTCTTTAATTCATCAGCCATCCGAAGCACTGAATGTTGCTGGAAAATTCGAGTGCTTAGAGATCAACGCTGTGTCGAGCAGAGGTCTTAAGGTTATCATGGTGTGAAAACCAGGTTACCTGATAAATTCACCATTGAACAAGAATAAAAAGGTCGTAGTTAGTGACAGGTAAAGGTACCGGAGGTGAAAGCATGCTGAATCGGGGCTGAATACATTATCAATACCAATACTCCCACTAATACTTTACCAGCAGTTTCAAACAGGCATTTTAGCTCATACATAATGTCACACTAGATAGAAAACAATGCACAAGCTCAGCAATTCATCACCTAGTCTCAATAAACCCGACTTAGAAGCAACCAATGTAGAGCTGGCCAGTTTTGTTTTACCGAAATGTGAGCTAATGCCCTGAAGTCATAGTCAAACCTTACATGGATTTGGGTTCCCACGTTTCATTCTGCTGATCAGAGACTTTTGGTATAGCGCTATACAGACAGCCTATTCCTGAGCACATATTTTACGAACCAACCTCTAGCGTTGTCTTCATTATTAGGTCTTATACTTACCTGATAGTAAGTAATGCTACCGTCGATTGAATGCTTTTGGTAAATCGCACCAGGATGCAGGATATTAAAGGCTTCACCACCAAAAATTATCAGTGGATCAGTATACGACATGCAGTACCGAAATGCCCATAACAGGTTCAGTTTCTTCTTTCGTTTTTAGTGGCAAGGACGGGTACGACATATTGGTGAATAAACGCCGGATTTTGGATGAGGAAGCAGGGATCCCACTGAGTACTGCTGTTATCAATTACTTCCGCACCATAAATGTACTGAACGGCTTTATCAAACTCAGTTCCAAACACAGACACCGTTTGGTCACCATGAAGGAGAGGAATAGAATAAGTTTACAAGTCATTTCTATACTCAAATCGAAATTAGCAAACCATGGGTCGGTGGAACATTCAGCTGCAGTTTGGACACAGAAGACGCAGCAGCAAAATGCAGCGAAAAAGATGGTCAACGCAATTACAAAAGGAGCCGAAAATGTGTCTCCCAAAGACCAGTGGAAAAAAATTCGTGACACATTGGTTGAACTCGAAAAGAAGCAGTGCAAGGTCGCTCCCAAGATTGAAGGGCGTATTGTCCAGTTGGAATGACTAGCGTCTTCACGCATTTCTATTCCCGTGAACAAAACCTTACTTTTCTCATTGTTCGTGAGACCTCGGGTATCCGTGTTGCTTTTCAAACATATCTAATGAGTTTCTTCCAAAGTTGCTTGAACAAAATACAGGCTTACGGATTCAGCATAGGCGTGTTGCATGTCATCGTATCACCATCGATTCCACGAGTGCCACGGACCGGTCTTACACAGTCTTCAGCATCGGGTACTAAATTAATTTACCGTTGACACTCAATAAGACTGTGGTTGTTTTCGACAATTTGTTAGGTAAAATCGGTCGGTTGAAACAGAAGTTGTCTCACTTCAACTACATCACATTTTGCAATTACACGAGAGCCTACATGCCTCTATGTCTCGAGTGTTTGCTGTTTTTTTTTACAAAGCTGTTTGTACGAGTCCCTATTTGTCGATAACTTCGTGCAATCCACAGACTAAGCAGTTTTTGCATTTATGTTCTGTTCCTGCTTTCGCTATTGCAATCTCAATTTCAGTAGCTGTCTCTGGTTTCTACAGGAATTCGGTATCAGTTAACACGACAGCCGCCAAAATGCTCACAGTTCAGTACTGTGATCTGCAATTGTGTACATTCTGTCCCGGAGTGGATGGAAACAACCGGGTATTTGCAAAATGCGTGTGCTACAATTCGATGGTAAACGGGAACAGAATGACACAACAAAAAGCCACCAGGTCCATTGGGACGAAATTCAAGGACTAATGATTGAAGATAATAAAAGAAAACGCTTTTGTCAAACAGAACAGTCGCTTGACTCACACCTTCACCAGTACCTTACTCTCCAGATGAGATGCTAGACTTAATGAACTCCTCAGCAGTTACCTGCTGCCTGATAGATCCTTCACATTTGGTAGTCTTTGTGAAGAGTGCTACTCATCATTGTTTTGGGCACTGAAATTAAGTAAACTGCTAGGACAGACATCTACAAATCATGAGTAGTTATATCACTTCAGTCTAACAAGTATTTGAACAAAATGAAGAGTAAATTCTCTAGACATCATCGGGGTAGTAAACAGACGAAACTTTCCGCGTGAGTGCTTTCATCGGCAAGGGCGTGACAGTTTAATTTCGGAAAAGAATTCTGATGCACAGAGTTCTATACACAACATACCCACTGAATGAAGACTGTATGACCTGTTGGCTTACTTAATGCAAAAAATGCATTAACTAAGGCATTAATGGCATGAGCTGAGACTGTTTCCCAAAAAAATGTGGGTAGTGTGAGGAGATTTGGGGTATTTTGTGTGGGATTTCGTCCTGTAAGTGAAGCAAATCTATGCTGAAATGTCGAGAAGCACTGTACAGCTGTTTCAATCCTTATTGGAATCCTCACACCTCACACACTTCACCCGATGAGTGAAACTTGTATCTGAGAAGTCGTTGCTCGAGGAGCCAGTCAACACGTGTGACCGCGTGATGTGGATCCCGTGATTGAAGGATGAGCGGCGCTATATCCTCTCTAAGTGCGAGTTAATCACACTGCTGATCAGCCACTCGTGGCCGAACGGTTAAGTGTTCAAACTACTAGCCGGGAGGTCGCGGGTTCGAGACTCTTTGGAGTTTCGTGAGATGCGCACTGCTGATGATTCCCAATAAGGATGAAACAGCTGTACAGTGCTTCTCGGCTTTTCAGCATAGCTTGGCTTCACTTACAGGACGAAGTCCCCACAAAAATCCCAAATCTCCTCACACTACCAAAAAAATGTATCTGTTTATGGAGTGTAAAAATATTTAGATTCGTTGGATGTCCCTCAATATAACGAGTGTCTTCTTTCAGTTGCATTTCCACCTACTGTTTTCGATTAACACAACAGACCGGAGAGGACCTGATTTTCACTTCTCACGTGATCTTGTTCACTTGGGCACAGTTTACACAATTTCTTTTTAGTCTCCGAGCTAATGGTAAGCCTCAGGTCAGAGGCTGGTAAGAAAAGCTCGGGATTCTACTCACCATTCTTCCAGTTATGGCCTCCACATTGAAGAAAAATATTCTTTATTCCTAATAAAATCTAGGTGCATGAAGGTTTTTATAGTGCTGAAAAATTTATTGTGGAAATAACTGCAAGCTTATGTCGTTTTAGCTATGAGGTGACAGAGGAATGATACATACCCATGGCTGTTTTTCCGGAGCTCTACAATTACAAGCCTTTGCCTATATCGCGTCTGTAGTGCTGTCCTCCTGGTGACAAGATGTGGGGTGGGAATAACTCAACACAGCTTGGGATTGAATTCATATACCACAGAAACATTTCGGGTCTATCACAAAGGGAAGTCGAACTAACCAAAATTTGGATAAATTCCAGTGGATTTCAAATGTAAACAAATTTCTATGATGAGTGTATGTAAATTTTTTGAACTTTAAAGATACTTTATCAGTCCGTGAATGTGACCAGCTTATCTCTCAGTCTCTTTCCCTTATAGCATGAACGCTGCGCGTCCTGATACCCTAAAGCACTAATAAATTTGAAGGCTAACGATTTAATGTCTACTAAATATTTAACGCATATGTGGTATTTTTGCCCGCGTTGTGCGATGATAGGAAAATGGGTAAATGAGAAGACTTTGCTAAAAACCCCGAAATAATTCAAGAAGTGTTAACTGTATTGTGAAAACGTGTGTGGTTAGGATAACACTCACATCAGCTAGGATATTGGCAGCAAAAACACTGGAGAATGCAGTTGGAGGGCTTTGCGATGTGGCACTCAACTGAAGGTAGGGTTGCTGCCAAAACAAATTCAACAATTATGCACGCTCAAACGAAACCAACAAGACATAGTTGATGTTAATGGTCTTGAACATAACACAGAAGGAGGAGAGGGAAATGATATATCCGGTTGCCTCTCAAAAAATAGTAAATTCAAGTAGTTCATGTAGAACTTCACTTGAATGCATAACACAGGCTACAAAAACTGGACAAGCAATGTCCTAGGAGGGGAATGTCTATGGATTGCACACATTATTTCAAACTCTAGAATGTCCGATAATGTGATCCAAATCTTAAGTCCGATGCCTCGTGCCGTTTATTGGGACGGGAGCAGAATACGGTAATTTGCGTCGAAACGGCAACAGGATATATAAGCGAAACGCGATGAGATGGCGTACCAAGGCGTGTACAGACAGCAGATAAATAGGTAAATAGGTTAAAGACGGTATGAATAATTTACCGGACTTAGACGTCGAGACTGTTTTTGTGCCTGCCTGGTTCTAAACACTTTTCCAATATAAGACTCGAAGATACACATCCCCCAATTCCATCCGACGATGCACCATCCATTTTGACTGTAATAGCAACCCCTTTTAATTGTATAAGCACGAAGTTTTCTAACCATCGCGTCTTCCCCAGCAGCTTATGAATGAAAATATTGAGGGACTGAATGGTGTTTGGGTGCACCAGGATGGTTGACGTCTTTCATGCTGGTGTCAAAGTTTGATTTGATCAACGGGGTTTTGATAGGTTTTGTCGGTTTTGTTACGTTAACGTGGCCATTAATGATGAAATATGTTTACTTTTGGGCTAGATTTTAGATGAAAATGGACACAGACCTAGTTCCCACCGACTGGCTGCGCTTCTGAAAATCCTACCCTTTAATGTCATTCATGGTCTCCACTGCGTAATTTGACGCTTTCAAGTATTAATGACGATTTGTGCCGGAACTTACGAGGTGCACTCATTTTCTGCTGGATGCTTCAGATACCTGCAGTGCACTGAACATCGTCTCTGATATATTCTAACGCTCGTGCAATTCGGTGCTGTTTTGCAAACCTGTGAACCAAAATTGCATCCTCTGCTCATCACTGCTGTTTGCCTGACATGTTTTGGTGCATTAGTGGAATAAGAACCCTACCCGGTCATTCGCGCTTCTGGTAGACTCTTGTGAGCCATACTGAGCACCGCCGAAGCACATCAAGAGACCGCAACTGTTCACTGGAATGTCAAAGCTATACATATTTCTGGAGCTCATTTTGCAACTTGGATAGATCATAAGCGTTGACGTTCGTTTACAGGATTTTCTCTCACCATGGCCTAACCCTAAGAGTCTTCATTAAGTGCATGTGATTATCACACTGAACCTCGGACTGCCAAGCACACCAAGTACATATGGATTACCTATCTTGTCACACTTTTCATCTTGCGGGCCTGATACCGTCACGTTGACCATCATTTGATCTAACATTTACCGGAGAACCGCTATAAATTACTAGGCGATACTAATGGTTATCTCAATAGTGTGCTGAGCTCACTGGGAATGGCTGAAGTTCGACTACAAACAAGAGTCACCCTGTGTTGTTCTGTCCATCGCTCTCAATGGGATAGTGTGCCTTAAAGACGGCATGATTGTTTCCAAAATTTGTGCAATTCTGTGCGAAAATATCTGCATCCTAAATTTTCAGAGCGAAAAGTACAAAGTCACCATTAAGGCTTTACATCAATCAATCAAGCAGATTGGCTATAAATCTTGTAACATAGGCACAGTGGTCGTAGCTGTTACAGTGTCGAAAGTGAGAGTGTGGGTCACACAGGCAAGCAGAAAGGCGATGGCATGTTCAGTTGCTTCAAAATGTGGGCGGCTGCGCACTAAATACAATGGTTTTGATGCATGCGTGCCACTGACTGCGCCATCAGAACATTTTTACCAGGGTCATTAACCATTGGTGAGTTGGGTGTCAGAGTCCCCATACAGGGAGGCGGAAGTTGTAGACCCGACTAGGTTTAGTGGTTGATGTTTTTATACTTCGTTACCAGGTCATATATATACACTGACCTCTCGGTCGCTTCAACTCAGCACAGAGCTGAGCAAAAAGAGTTTTGAGATGGTCCCCTGGTATGCGGAGTATATGTCTTAAGGATCGTAGCCTATAAGCATGAGTAATTCATCTATCGCTGTAGAGATCCTCCTTACTAAGACCATTTGCCGTACCTCATCATCACAAATCCGATGTTCCAGTCAGACTCAACTAACATCTTAGAGACACAAAAGGTCAAACACTGACATCTTCCGTATGTCATCTGCGAGAAGATCATAAAACTGGGATGACGGTCGAGCGGTTCCGTTTGACTGGTATTCTGTTTTCGATCCGCTTCTTCTGCAGTATGGTTGCAGAATGTTCACCAAGTCCGCGCCAGCTTCTTTGGAGAGTCCAGGGTGTACACCTTTTGCGCCATGTGTCCCGTCGCGCATGAAGAATGAAATCACACGTTGGGATTTGGTTATTCACCCCGGTCTGGTGTTGA